TCCCAGAATTCTGGGAGTTGAAGTCCACACATCTTAAAGCCGATGAGGTTGACAAACACTGCTCTAGAGACTAAAACCAGAAGCCCCTTTTTTCTCTTACAGATTACTCTGCAGGTTTATTGGCCCTCGGTACACCAGATGAATGAGTTCCATGCATGGCGGGTTCTTAAGGGACTAGCATTCAACAAATTGTTCAAGATTTCAACAGGGTGTAGACATGAAAACCACGAGAGCAATCTTGAATAAGCCTAACCAAGATAAAGATTCAGTGCAACTCGCTAATCATTGTTCTGACTGGCACCTTTCATTAAAAAATACTACTCCATCAGAGGTGTCCCTGTCCTCCTCTTCTCTTCAACCATCATCACCAGCTGGTTTTCCACCACCAGTTGTCCAAACTGCCAACTTTGAACCGTTCCTCCCTGTCTCCTCAGAAATCTCCTGTTGGGAAGAGTAAATGTGGACTCCTTTTGGCCACTAGAGGGACATTAAGAAAATGGCCATCAGGGACATAAAGTTGACCAAGCATTTAATAGCTCTGCTGATATGGAAGAGAAGCTGGCACTCCAAGGTTGGGAGGGGTCTGGGTCCAGCCCCAAAGGCATGGCACTGAAGCCATAATCCACTGCCCACCCAATTTGTAGCTTAAGGCAAGGATCTCACTCTGTATCATGGATGGTCTGGCCATGTTTAGAACTGACATCCTTATTCCCCAAATATTGGTATTTAAGACAACCTCTGCTTGCCCTCATTGACTTTGGGGCCTGTAAAGAGAAATGTCCTAAAAAATATTTTTTAAAAAACATTAAGCATTCATACTTCAAGACTTGGGGAGATCCTGAACATTTATTAAAGAACTATAGATACCATTGATTAGAAACTGAAGTCCAAGGAAATGCCAACGCAGTTAACGAAGAGAATCAAGAAACCCATTAGTGGGAAGACAGGGTTTGTCTAAGAAAAATAAGGTGTCATGTACAAATACAGAATAAATATAAACTGGCAACAGGGCAAGGAGACGAAGAATCTGAAGGGCACTGCAAAATAACGGAGATCAAGAATAAGCACTAAAACTATCCGAAAAGGGAGACAATTATGGTGTGAGTGGTAAAGAGGCTGAGGGTGGGGAGACAGCAGGGAAGCTGTGTAGATGCTTTCTGCTGGTTTTTGAGCAGAGGCTGGGTGGAAAACAGACGAAGAGGTGCTTCTGATGGATTTTTGAGGGAAAAGGGTTCAGTCTGGTGTAGTGGCGAAGGTGCTGGGCTAGAAATTGGGAGACAGTGAGTTCCAGTCCTCCCTTAGGCTTGGAAGGCAGCTGGGTGACTGTGGCCCAGTCCCTCTCTCCCAACCCAACCCAACCCAACCCACCTCACAGGGTTGTTGTTGTGGAGAAACCCGGAGGAGGCAGCATTAGGTATGGGCCTTGAGTTGTAAAAAAAATAAAGGCAGGATATAAATCAAATTAATACATAGAAAAGGCAAGAGATCAAGAAGTCTGGATGACAAATCAAAACTTAGTTTATCAGTTTTATAATAAAATATTAAAAAACTGAGAGATAGAAAACTGTTGAGTTTAGCAACAGCTTCTCTCTA